TCCAAAAGTATTGGAATTACAGGCATGAGCCACTGCTCCCGGCTAAGTCTGGGAATTCTTTACGCAAATCTGAACTTCCAGCTCTTCATGTAGGATAGAATACATTTTATTTAATGTATGTTAACTTAACATGTTATCTTAAATATTCAACACATGTATATAAGGTTCCATTTGTACTTTTGCCCCAGCCCAGTTTTATGCATCCCCTAAAAAAACAGAGATTATCCTCTATCAAATATCAGAGGAGAGAACTAGCTGAGATTTGGGGAAAGCAACTAATCAACAAAGATAATAAATATTTATCTAAAAAAATTTATAAAATGCATTTATAATTTAGTTATCAGTTATTGTCTATGTTCAAATTCTTTATGTTAAATACACTATGCTATATTTCATGAAATAGACCTAAAAAGTCTACTTCACCTCTGAAAAGTTTGTAAAAATTTGTTACACAAATGAGCCATTTTTCTCAATGTCCTTAGAGTGACATTTTCAAATAAAACTTCTGTTTAATGTCACAATGCCTGACATGATTCTCAATAGTTGATTCAAAACATTGTTGCCTGTCAGGCATCAGTAAATTCATTCATATATTCATTCATTCATGCAATAAGTATGTGCTTCTGGGCATTTAAAAATACACAAAATCATGCAATAAGTATGTGCTTCTGGGCATTTAAAAATACACAAAATCAGCAGATAGATGGAACTCAGGATGGGTGCGGTGGCTCAAGTCTGTAATCCCGTACTTTGGGAGGCCGAGGCAAGAGGATTGCCTAAGTCCAGGGGTGGGAGACCAGCTTGGGCAACTTGGTGAGACCTCGTCTGTACAATTAAAAAAAAAAATTAGCCGGGCGTGGTGGCACGTGCCTGTAATTCCAGCTACTTGGAAGGCTGAGGTGGAAGGATCGCCTGATCCCAGCAGGTTGAGGCTGCGGTAGCTGTGAGCATGCCACTGTAATCCAGCCTGGACGACAGAATGAGACTCCAATTAAAAAAAAAAAGAAAAAAAGAAAAAGAAAAGATGGAACTCTATATTAATTGAAGGAGACCGATAAGTAAACAAGCAATTATCATGTTTGATAAATGCTTTGAAATTAGTAGCAGAAAACAGGAGGTACATCAAACTAATACTGGAATGCAGGAAGGTTTCCCAAAGAGATGTCAGCCAACTGAGTGCTAAAATTACCTGGATAGTTTGTCTGGCAAAGAAGGCAATTAAAAATTTCTACTCAGGAGACTTCAAAATTCAGTGATGTACAAGTAAAAGAGACAGAGGGGAACTAATATTTGTTGACTGCTAGGCACTATGAAAGTGCTTTGCAAGTATAAAATAACTGATCTTCACAAAATAGGGGAAGGAAGGCATTAGTAAGCCCATTTTATTGAGGAGAAAATAAGCAAGTTGCTCCCAGTCATGGGACCAGAAAGTGGCACAGCCTGGATTCAAACTCAATATTCTTCCATTACTTCAAGAATCACTAAACTGAAAACGAAATTCAAACAAAACTTCGCCCCATTAGTTCTGGTCAAGGAAGCTTAGACCTTCTTTGAAGGGAGTAGAAAGGTATATTAACAAAGTGTACTTTGGTTTTAAATAGATGCCTCTAATGACAGTGTGCCAGAATGTGACCAGAATGGCAAATGGAGGAACTGAACTTGCAGTTGTGATTTCCATGTTCTTGATCAGTGTTTGTTGGGCGCTGTTCATGTATTTTATAGCATGTGGCTCTTTGTCAGTTAAGGTTACACAATATTTTCATTCAAACTGACCCATTTTATTTCCAACCACCAAGCGTAAGAACAAGATATCTGCTCCTGTTTCTTCAAAAGGTCATATTTTAGAATTTGTGTAATGTAATCTGGCTTTCAATTGTAGAACTGGTTTATTTCTTTACCTGTCATCATCTGAATATAAATGCACACATAGTAATAGAAGTCAAATTGCAAAAGAACTCACTTTTTGATTAGAGAAGTAGAACGAGAAGGCTTTCTTTGTGTGTGTGTTGATTTCTAAGGAATTGTGTTTCTGGGTCTATGTATCTGGTCCAAATGCGGCTTCTCTGAGGTACTTCTAACCCTATAGAAGCAGAGACTATACCGAGTTTTGAGAAGTTATTTAATCAAGGTTCATGCCTAGATGGGACTCTGCTTGTAGGACAGGCAGTTTATGTTCTTGACTCAATATCTCTGATTGGAGAAGGCAATTACATTGCAAAATTTAAATTTTTCCAAGGTTAATTGATCTGAGTAAGTATATCAATGTACTATAATGTTAATTTAAAAATTTGGAGATTTGCAGGCACTTCTAGGAAGAAAAAAAGGCAAAAAAAAATTGTAGCTCTGCAGTTATCTGTGTGGGAAAATGGGTTTATAAAAAAAGCATTATTCTATAAATAGTAATTGAATAGTCTTATTATAAAAGCCAATCTTTAATCTGAAAATAATGTAACAATTAGATTAGATTCATTTTTCGTTTTTATATCAACTAGAGGCTTGTCACATGAAGAAAGCAAATAGCCCACAATCCAACAAATACCACCTTGAAAGAATTTCTTCCAACTCTGAAGAATGTTAGCAACTGTTATGTGAGTTATGTTGAAACAAAATATGAAAAGAGTAGTTCTTTTTTAAAAAATTATTATTTTTTCAGTTGGGGTCTCACTCTGTTGCCCAGGATAGAGTGCATTGGCATGATCATAGCTCATTGCAGCTGTGACCTCCAGTACTTAGGCAGTCCTTCTGCCTCAGTCTCCTGAGTTCTGGGACTACAGGCGTGTGCCATCACACTTGGCTAACTGGATTTCATACTTCCATAAACGTGCTAAGTTATCCTGACAAAATGTCTCATCACTGGTAAGTCTGCATAATCATTAAAACTCAAAATTTATATCCAGGTAATGCCTCTATACTCCATTTTTAACTTGGACATTAAATGTTCCATTTTGAATTTGCAGTTCTTGGTCTCTCTGCAGACATTTGGAAACATCAGCTCCTTTTGTGTTGAGTATTTTCTCCCTAAATAATTTGGACTATATAAAAGCAAGGCTGGCAGGCCAAGGCAGGAAGATCACTTGAGCCCAGGAGTTCAAGATCAGCCTGGGAAACATAGAGAGACCCTGTCTCTATAATAAAAAATATATTTAAAATTTTTAAAAAATATATAAAATGAAGGCTGGCATTTCCTTACCACATATAATGCCCTAAATTAATTATGCCCATTTAGCTCGTATGTGTTAAAAAAATGTGTTCAGAGAATGTAAATCAATAATTTTCTAAGTAAAACATCATTAGAATGGAAAACGTAGAATGTGACACAGTAATGTAAAATTAAAGGAAATGATATGAAAGTATCTATCATACTCTAGGCACATCAATGACCCATAAGTCTATCATTCAGGTGACTAGATTATTTAATCAGTCTCTAAATGGTAAAAGCTAAGCACATAGTAGGCACTCAATGCTAAGCACATAGTAGGCATTCAATAAATAGTTGAGTTGTTTTAGAATAAAAATTATGCTTTTGGAATTTTAAGGTAAGTTCTACTACTTGGGATTTTATTTGTAATCATTCCTCAGAAAAGACATGACCAGTAACCAAAGGAAGGAAACAGTCTCAATGTAAACTGATTGACCTGATCAGTTTTTTAATTCCTTAGCAACCTAAACTTACACAATTTGATTTTCTTATGATAGCTTTTCCTATACTATCAAAAATGATGCTTTCTTTACTATTTCAAACTCATCATAAAATTGCTAAAGATCTAAAATTCAATTTGCCACATTACTGCTAATTTGAATAATGGCTGAATAAAACACAGGAAACGCTGAAACAGCATTGATTTCTAAAACATTTTGCACTTTCCTCTTCCATCCCTGTAAAGTAAAGCTTGGATGCCACGCGCAATTACACAAGAAAATCAAGAAAGCCATTACATTCAGCATTTTGTCATGATCATTGTTACCATGGCAAAAAGTGGGTTTAGTTGAGCACAGCTGCCACAGGCGAGTTCTGCTGGCCTTTTGTAAAGCTGAGTAACAATATAATGCTGGTCATTGTTTTTATCCTAGGACAAGGCTATTGTCCACAGATGCTACCGTCTCATTCCTTAATGATCTAAGCCAATGTCATCTCATTGTGTTCTTACTGTTGGCCAGTGAGCAAGGAACACAGGTAATCTAGAAAGGTTATCACTCGACCCACCTCCTGTTCTAAGAGGAAAAAAATGTATAGTGCAAACACTTGGAATTGCAATGATGGAAAAAGCCAAAGTTCCAACAGTTGCATTGTAAATGACGATAGGGTTGTATTGAAGTAGCACAGGTTTGGAAAAGAGAGATAAATGCAGACCCATGATAACTGGCTGCAAGGCACATCATTTTCTCTCTTTGAGATAAACTTAGGTATCTGTAAAATGGGGATAAAAGTAACTTCCTTGCAAGAACAGTTAAACTGCAGGCCCAGGCATGGGGTGAGTAGTTAATAAAATAACATTTCCCCATCCCTTTTTTAAATGCATAGCTTTCCATTCCTTCAGGAATGTTGGTAAAAGTTGGTAAGCAAACTGTTTTCATCTGTTGGAAGGTAAATAATTTTCATTTTTCATGGCTTGGACAGTTTTCTCAGAGAGCTGGGGATAAATTATTTTAAGGTCTTCCAGAAAACAAAAATTTCACATCAAAAGGATAAAAGTTCAGTGTCAATATTATAATATGCACCACATCTTATTACCCATATTGTAAATGACACCAGTATTTTTACTATAAAGTGGAAAATGGAGTACATTTTGACCTTACACAGAGATTTTTAGTTTTAAAAAATGAAGCAACATTGTGAAAGCAGAGAGGTTTAAATTATCTGAAATTAATACATTAATCAAGACTCTGTATTTACGAGAAACAAAGGCTACTAGCATTTTTACCAGCTAAACAAAATATTTTTTCTAATGAGATTTCAGCTGAGTATCGTTTATCTTAAGAGAAAAATAATAGGACCTTACCTATTCCAGTAGCTCCAGAACTGGTCATGCAGGTAGGCGTGGTGGCTACATTCATCACCAAATGAGGCTTTGCTTTCAATCCAGTGAATTATGTGGCCTTCTACAGCTAAGGGACAAAGCATTACTAATATATGGCAAGCAGAAGATTGAAAATTCTGAACTCCGCACAGGCCTCTCTATGCCCCACATTAATGAGCAGAAGCTTAGACCTTAATATCATCTATAAATGTAATTATAAAACAACACATTGTATATGTTCATTACAAGGATGTTACAATCACATCCTTTTTATTTTCATCATCTTCTTCAAAAGTTGCTTTCCCAGCTCTGAGACTGTCTGTATTATAACTCTACAAGTGACATGTCAAGCAGACCAAAGTGCCGCTGGCTTTTCAAGAAACCCATGTTTTTAAAATTCAGAATTTAAAGAAAGAAGTTGAAAATGACCACCAAAATGTCTTTAGAAGACATATTCATTTTTCAAATATATGTAAAAGTTTTTAAGAGAGAGATTTCTTCTGAATCTATTTTCTGTGACTTGAAAGCAATATTTTCTAATGATTTCACCCATTTAGATATAATATTATAAAGCTAATATACTCTGGTGACATTTGCTAATATTAACATAATAATAAAAGTGTATAGAAAAAATAAACCCCCCCCAAAAAAAGAAAAAAGAAATTCCTTTTCTCTATAAATAAATGCCCAACAGTCAAAAGACTTACCAACTGGTACTTGTAAAATGAAGTCTGGTGTTTTGTCATAACCCTTTGCACGGAGCTGATCTTCATCTACAGGAAGAACAAATACTATTACTTATAACAGTATTCTATTAACAAGATAGCAATATAATTGCTTTTCTTTCATAAATAGGTGTAAAAATTACTAATGCAGTCATACATATCTTTCTGATGCATGCAATGCTGTGTCAGAATAAATGAACTTTCTTAACAAACCTGAAGCATAGATACAAAAATGCTTTATGTCTTTATTATAAACATCATTAACTCAAGCTGTCATCGCTACCCTTTTTTGTCATTGGAAATATTCAAAATAAAGAAATACACTGACTGATTGAAAGAAAAGACTTTCACCACCATGAGTATCACTAATGTTATCAACTAATATTGGCAACTTATAGTAAGGTGCAAGCACAGTGGCCTTTACAATTATGGAACAAATGCTTTCAATAAAAGCAATTAAGAAACTTTAGTTTTAATTAGTGAAACTATTCCTACCCACAGGAGAGGGACAAGGACAATGAGATCACCACAAAGAATTAATTATCCTGCTTAATTCTTTTGGCATGCTATTGTTTCTGGCATTTACCAGAGTTTTATAACTAACAATATATCATTCTGAAAAGCAAATAGGTTTTAAGATCTTTTTTCCTAAGTCTGTAAGAGTTCTTGATCCTCTGAAAATATCAATGATCCATTCAGAAGGAAAGAAGGCAGGAAAACAGAAAGCTTGACAAAGTTGGGAAAAACTAGCAAGGTGCTTGGTTTAAAAAAAAAAATCCTCCAATATTTTCTAAATGCTGTCCTTGACTTCTAATGGAATTACAATGTGATTTCTGAAATGGAGAGTTCTCCATTAGATTTTGGAGTGACCTGGTCATTCAATTCCAGACGTGGCTTTTTGTCTTCACCCAACCTCAACTAATGGCCCAACCAAGTAACAAGGAAGGCTGTGTGGTCTCTTAACACCTACTGGGCTGTTGACATTGTCATGCATCCCATTCGCCTTCCTGCATCACCTTTGATTAAAATTAATGGCCCATTCCCAGTGTTGGGTAGCTTATTTCCAATCCATTTGTCAGCCCAAGACAGTGGTTTCATGGCCAATGTTCAGAAACTCTGTTTTAGAACACTCTTGAGTACATCTTGAAAGGTCAGCATTTTAAATGTAAATAACCTTTTAATGACAAGACACATATTTAAAGTAGACATTTAAGTTAAATTTTGTTAAAGTCAATATTCTTAAGCTATCCATATTTTGAAGGATTGATAATAGAATTCAGAACAAGCTCCCTTCCTTGAAATATTAAAAACTTTCAAGTTAACCACTGAGATAATAACATACAAACTAAAGTAATATGACTTTAAAAGCAAGAGAATTTGGAAAGTGGGCTGTAGACAAACAAGAGTGGAAAAATTTATATCCTCTAACTATACTCTGTCCATGAGAATATTTAGTAGAAAAAGCATTTATTAAAATCAACTCCAGCACCTCAAGTTGATGTTTCATGTAGCTGATGAATAGTTTTGAAAGCTGGATCGACATGAAAAAAGATAGATTAATATTTTATTAAAACTATCCTAGCATGATCAACCTTTGCAGATGTTAAAATCTGTTTCAAAAAGAAAAACAATTATGTTTCTGATAGAGCGCAAAACAAAATTTCAAAGGTCACCAAGCAACCCAAATGTACACACTAAAATCCCTTTAAAAGGCAGACACTACACTTCCTGTTCGCTCCACCAAAACTACTTACATAATATCCACAATTTAAATTGCATGACTGACTTAATGTGAAAATTAAAAAACTCAAACCCCCAAACCTGAACATAAAACATCAAGTGAGGCTAGGAAATCTTTCCATTTTCTTGTGGACATCTTCAAAATACAACTGGCACCCCCCCACATAAAATCACCCCCTTTATCTTCCCCGCATTCCTCAGTATAAAGAGGATCTAATACTCATTGTACTCAAAAGATAGCAGCTAGAAGTCTCTGTCACCATCTGTGATGTTACACTTCTATTCTTTTTATAGTAAAGAGGTTATCCCAAACATCTGAAATAGTATTTATTGGGCATCTTTCCCTTTATTTAATTTATTTACTAAACTCTCACTGCCTTTTGCCCCATTTCAACCTTCACATTGCTTCTTTCATCCCAGATTTCCTAAAAGGGAAAAAATTTGGCAATGTTCATAGGAAATGACAGTACAAGGAGAGGAAGTAGCGCTTAGGAACAGGTGGCTTTGCTCACCTGTTCCAGGCCCCAGGAGAAGTTTCTAACAGTGATCAACCCTCAGGGAGATTTTAAGGTCAGCCCCGTCCATCTGGCCTGATTTCCTAGTCTTTGCATTATGCTCTTTTCCTGGTCCTCAGACTTCGAAAGATTTCTTACCATTAGATTATTATCCAAACTATTTGGTGTGGATTTATAGGTGTCGGTTCCAATTCTGGGATCCTGAGGTTATGTACCTCAGCCATCAGCCCTCAGTACTTCCCTTCTGCATCACTCTTTGTTAGCCCTTCTGTACTACTGTGCATGGGCCTGTCTCTCACATTCTGAGCTAGATGTTGTTAATTTTTTGAGACAGGGTCTTGCTCTGTCACCCAGGCGGGGGTGCAGTGTGTGATAGCTCACTGCAGCCTCTAATGCCTGGCCTCAAACGACCTTCCCACTTCAGCCTCCTGAGTAGCATCACCATTCCTGGCTCCACGTATATTTAATGCTCAAAAAGGATAACTGAATAAAATACAAGTACATTTTAAGGTATATCTATGTCTTCTACAAAGCCTATTCAGACCGACAATTTTCTCTCCTAATTTAAATCCCCAAGTATCAACAAGGCACAGAGGCACCAATCTTGGCCCAAAGTTCAAGGTTTTATCAGATAACTCTTGCTGTTATCTTTCATCCTTGGTCCCAACTGTCTGTTCCAATTGCTCAACTGAGGTTCATCTTAATTGTAAAGACATTAATGTGAATAGAAATTTTTCCTATTTTTTTTCTTTGTTGGCAAGCATTTTGAATAACATTGGACTTATCCACACTTATCCACAACTTAAAATTTTGTAGAATTCCCCCACAAAACCTAATATGTGCCTGGTCTTATTGTTGGGCAGCTCTTCGGTGACTTTTGCTATTTTTTCTGTGGCTTCTGGTCTGTTTACATTTTTATCTCTTCCATAGTCAGTTTTGTAATTTATATTTTCCTTTTCTTTTTTTTTTTGAGTTGGAGTCTCACTCCGTCGCCCAGACTGGAGTGCAGTGGCCACTCCTGGCCACCACAGCCTCGACCTGCTGGGCTCCGGCGATCCTTCCGCCTCGGCCTTTCGAGTAGCCGGAATTACAGACGCGCCCTACCACGCCCGGCTAATTTTTTGATTTATTGTAGAGATGAGGTCTCGCTGCCCAGGTGGGTCTCGAACCCGCGGGCTCAGGCAATCCACTCACCTCAGCCTCCCAAAGGTGCGGGATTACAGGCTGAGCCACCGAGCCCGGCTCTATATTTTCCTTTTCATACAGGTTCGTATAATACTTGCATGTACTGGAGCCAAGTAGTTACTTATGATTCTTTGAATTTCCCAAGTAGAAACTAGATGTTTAAATAATCTGATGTCTTCTTCAAGATAAAATGATCAATATTAAGAACAAAGAAAGAATAATATTAGTTAGAAGAAAAAGTACTAGCAATAATATGGAACACCACTTTTAGTATAACTTCCCCAAATGGCTGGATATCAGTATGAAATCAGTCCCCAAATCCTGCTTACCCATCTTATTCAGTGAATATAGCAGATACAAAGTAGAGAGTCTTTGGCTTAAGGTGTATATTTAAAAACCCAACATATTTCATAACTATTATGCTCATTAATGTCCTAGTTCAAGTATTCATTATCAAAATTAACATAAGAATATTAAATATTAATATTAAATGTTGATTTTTAGATACAAGTATTTTAAGAAACACAGTATTCAGAACTAGTAAAGTCTCAGCAATTACCAGTCCAACATTTTCAATTTATACATGATAAAAGTGGCCTTGAGAAGTTAAGTGACCAATCAAGACGTAGACCTCTCAAGTAGTTACAGATACAGGATAAGAGTCCATGTCAACCAAGTTCCTGTTTGTTCCAGTAGACTATATACCACTCTTAAGTATGAAAATATTTATACTTGAACATGTGTAATATTTATGAAGTGGGGAGAAATCCTTATTTTCCTCTCGGAAGATCTAGACGCATAGGAGAGGTGGACAACTATCTGTCAGACGTTATTTGGACAATACCTGCCTGAAAAAAGATGAACTAGATAGATAATTTCTTAATTTCTAGCACTCAATGGTCCTTTCTCCAATTTAAATTTTAAAAAATCAATAAAACCACATCCAAAAATAAAGCTGATGTTAATTTTTTTTAAAAAATTCAGTTCTTCATTTATTTTTATGTTGTCAGGTCTGTGTTTAAGGGTATTTTTAAAAAGGAATTATACATGTGTAAAGAATAACGTGAAAGTTTAATTTCTCTGGCCTTTGAATTATTCTTGTCTTCAAATACAAAAAATATCCAAAGCAATTAAGTACTAATTACACAATTCTTTCTTAAAAATAAAGGGCTGAGTTTGAGGCAGAGAACAAGACACATCTGAAACTAGTTAACATATACTTAAGAATCACAGGGGGCATGAGGATTACTGAGAAAAGGTTTGAGGTTTCTTCAGCTTATTTTGTTTTATTAAAAGCCTTAAATTTAAGAAATATAGTAATTTCCAGATTAATTGCACAGAATTCCAGTTTACAACATCTGAAAGTCAAAAGTCATATTCTGATATATCTTTTATATATGAATTTGAAAAAGTTTTCTAGGTTAAAATATATTAATGATAAATAATCTTTCTAATACTCTGTGCATCTCTACTATATGAGGGGAGGGCAAAAAGAACATATGTCAATACAAATTAAAACTGCAGTATATCTTTACTAATCTAGTATTTTGCTTTTCTGTGTTATTTTTTTCCAGAACACTGCCTCATTCAAGAGTTGGAGCATGACCT